AAACCTTTCCTCACCAAAAAAAAAAAAAAAATCTGATGTTTGGTTATTTAATCAGAATTTGGGAAGTAGTACAGATGAACAACTTTTCAGCACCCCCTCATTAATCAATATATTTTCCTGCACACACACATTCATCAGTTACTTTCTCTCTCTAGATATTGTGTAAATTTTCTCTTTCTCCTTCCCAATAGAATAGTTGATATGGTCAACTTTTAGGTTATTACAGTGAACAGCTAAATTCTGATCAGAAACACTCTATGGGATAATTTTTGACCTATGATTAAAAAAAAAAAAGCATTGGGTTAAGTGCATTGACAAGGAAAGCAATTATGTTGAAAAAAAATAAATTCTGGAATTTTGTTTTTGTTTTTTCATGAGATGATGAATAAGAAAATAGGCTTTTAATGAAATCTCTCAATATGTTTGTAAAATTTAATAAAAAAAAAAAAAAATTAGTATTTTTAGTATTACAAATAGAAAATTTTGCTATTCTCTCTCTCTCTCTCTATATATATATATATATATATATATATATATATATATATATATATATAATAAATGTAATAATAATGAACTCTCCCGTCAGTTTCAACATAGGGACGATATGATATCACTGTTAGATTGGCTGACCTTTTACGTCTTGCTCTCACTTCTTGAAGGTGTATCAGACAAGCAAATTGAAAATTGCTGAGTCCACTAAAACATGTTGATCTCCATTCTACCCACTCCAAAGCTAAGCGCTCAAGGGTGTTATGTGGTATATTGACTGCTGATAAGTTACTTTTCAGCTTGTCTTTGTATCTCAGCCATGAGCGTCCTACATTCCTGTAGCCCTGATCTAACTGGCTGTACATTAGGATCTTGGGTATCCTGTCATCTCTCTCTCTCTCTCTCTCTCTCTATATATATATATATATATATATATATATATATATATATATATATGAACCTCCAAATTAGTGAAATGTGATTTTGAACTGATCTGCTGAACAATTTTAGATAGTTTGTGTTGAGAGACTATTGTTTTATTTTGTATATATCTATTTCATTCTCTCGAAAATAATGAAGCTTATTCTGGACAAGTTGCTACACACACAGAATTTGAAAGAACTGAAGAAGACTTTATTGCATTTCCCAGACTTCTGCGGAAAGAACCAAGTTGTAAATCATCTCTATTTGAAATTGAACTTGGAAGATTTTTTCTTTCTTCAGTTTAATAAATAGATACCATTAAAGGGATCATTCTTGCAGAGGCCAGAGATAATTTTATATTATTTAAAAAGCATCTCACTTGTGAAAAAAAAAAACAATTCTCCCCATCTCTTTGTGTGAGTAGCCCTGGGTGCTGTTTTACTTCCCAGTTGTTGGCTTCTGTTCATTGTTAGCTAATTATAAAACTATGAAAAAATAAAAAATAAAAAAATAAAACTGGCCTATTTCATCTTTTCTTCAGTCAGTAAAAGTTGTTTTGGCCTGAGGAGAAGGTGTGCCTTAAGTAACAACACCTGAGATCTATTACTCTACAATCAAATTGCTTTTCAGCTTTTGGTATTGGCAAGAAACAGGGATCAAATATCTTCTACCCACCCCTAGCTTTTTTTACCCCCAGTGGCAGAGCAAATGAGATTACAAAAGAATTCCTTGGCTTCATTTCATTTCTGAAAATATACACTGATTACTTATCTTGGGTGTGCGGGCATGTTTGTTCCTGTATATATATATATATATATATATATATATATATATAGTTTTAAGATATCCTATATTTATAGGTTAAAGTGCTCAATATCAAGGATAGTATACTATTTACATTGTTCAGACTATTGTCCTCATCTCATCTTTCAGGTGGTTGGAATGTTGAACTGAACCCTTTATTTTTGCTGGGGTAGATTGTTCTAGTTCCATATGCCATGTTTAATGGATGTTGTCAGTTATCTCCTGTTAATTCCCTTCTCCAAGTTCTTCATCACCTTAACCAGGTATTGAACTCACACTCTTTGGGTTGTGTCACTGGATCTAACACCTTTATCCACTGCGCCATGTGTCTTTTGAGGACATCTTTGTATGAATTACTGGGTATTATAAACCTAACGTCTTCAGCAATCATTTTTTACCAGTGCTCATATTGCAATTTTTTTGATGTTATCATGACATGTTTTTACCAGAGCTCATATTGCAATTTTTGTTATTATTTATAATAACAAAAAATATTGTGATAAATATGGCGACAAAGATGAGGACAATAGTCCGAATAATGTAAATAGTGTACATAATACCTCGTCCCAGAAATATAGAGAGATACTGAAAGACCAAAGCGTAATAAATATGGCAAAAAGATGAGGACAATAGTCCAAATAATGTAAATAGTGTACATAATACCACATATCAGAAATATAGACAGATACTGAAGGGACGAAACGTAATAAATATGGCGACAAAGATGAGGATGATAGTCCAAGCAATGTAAATAGTGTACATAATACCTCATCTCAGAAATATAGACAAATACTGAAGGGTTGAAACGTTGTGATAAATATAGTGACAAAGATGAGGACGATAGTCCGAATAATGTAAATAGTGTACATAATACCTCATCTCAGAAATATAGACAGATATTGAAGGGACGAAATGTTGTCATAAATATGGCGACAGAGATGAGTATAATAGTCCGAGCAATGTAAATAGTGTACATAATACCTTATCTCAGAAATATAGATAGATAATCAAGGATAGTGTATGTAAATATAAAAGTGAACACTGGGGTCAGCACCCAGGTGCTAAGGTCAGATTTTATGCTTAAACTAATACAATCTTCAGACCATCCAGATAGCCTGAAGATTGTATTTAAGCATGTGACAGACTGGGTGTTGACCTCAGTGTCCACTTTTATATTTACAGTGATTAGAATGTTCATTTTCAGACCATGAAACCTGAGTTCAAATCTCAGCTTGGGCAATTTTTCAGGAATGTGGCTTCTGGCTGTTATCAGCCTGGGGAGGATGAAATGCTTTGGAAATTTCTTGGAAACCACACTATGGGTTGACCCAAACATTGTGAGTATAATTGAATAGATGGAACAGTTTGGAGGACATCAATGATTGAGCTAGCATAAGGTCACAAGTCATTGTGACTGAGGGTTTGAGTGTACTGGTCTTATTCAAACTTTTGATAATACCAGATTATTCACTCTCTCCCAGAAACTGTAACTAAGGTTAATTTCTTTTAAAAAAAATATATAAGCGTCACACTCAAAAAAGGCATTTTTTTTTTTTATTCTTCAGACATGTCTTTATTTAATAAAAAAGACTTGTGATGAACGGCAATAGGGTGAATTTCATTATCGTACTGAAAAATTACAAGTCATTAAATAAATATTAAGTGTGCTTTTTTTTGTTTTTTTTTTCATGTCCAATCTGAAAGAAAATAATGTGTTTTCTTAAATTATACAAGCAACAACTGTTAGAAAAATATTTTTTTTTAATTTTATTGAATTATTTCTGGTAAGAAGCGGAATAAATTTTCCATATGTTCGCACTTGATATTGAATAAATTTTTATTGAAATAACTTCAGGGATTTTTCTTTTATATAACTGTAAAAAAAAAAAAAAAAAAAATAGCTGAATACCCACTTTTTCCCAAATTAAAAAGGTACACACAAGATATTAAAAATGGAGGAGGTGAATCATGCTTCCAAAAAATATTTTCCCAAAGTTTTTAAATAAAATAACCTGTTCAGTTAATAATCAGTTCATTAATGAATAAGTTCTGATAATTTTGTATGAATCAGATAATTCCTTGATTTGATGATATTTGAAATTGATTTTTCAAATCACACAAATTTTAATCTTGTTCAGACAATAATAAAAGAAATTATAGTCTTACACCAAATGGTTACAAATAGTAAGTGTTAATAGAAAAGATAGCAAATTTGAGAGCCCAAAATAAACCTGTTTAGTCGTGTCTCATAAAAAAATAAGTGTTTTCCTATTATACACAATATTATTATATTATATACAGTTCAAAAGTTTGAAGCCACCCCCAGAGTTACAATGGGATGAACTTGACAGAAGAGTGAAAAATGAAAAATAACTCTTAGAGGCATTGAAAAAAGAATGGAATCAATTATCAAACTTATACTTTGAGAAAATTTTGCAACAAATGCCAAAAATTTGTACTGCAGTAATCAAGGCTAAAGGAGGATATTTTGACAAGAGCAAAATTTAATCATGAAATGCATTTTTTTTTTTCTTTTTGTCATAAAAAAAAATTTCTAATAAAAAAAAATCATGTCTCACTTTTTTTAACCCATGTATAATAATTTTCTCATATTTAAAGTACAAGACAACTACTTTTGGGGCCAATTTAAAAACATACTAGGGTGGCTTCAAACTTTTGAACGGTATTTGTGTTGTGTGTGTGTGTATATATATATATATATATATATGATTGCTACAAATAAAATCTGTAATTTGTTGCTTATCTGATTGATGCTATATTCACCACTTTGCCTCATGGACACACCATTTAGTAATTATTCTCCCCACTCATCAGGAGCTTTCAGCAATTGACTACAGTGTTTCTCATTTACATTATTTCTACACTGCGTGCCAAATTATTATCGAGATAAGTTTTTTTCTAATATTTCAAAAACCATCCAATCACAAAATTTTCACACGATGTTGGCAACACTGACCTGCACAATCACTGAAATTTTCGTACTGATCTGCACAATGTAAACAAACTGGTGCCATATTTGTTATTTTTTTTATCATCTTTGTACTCCTAATTTTTTTTATCATCTTTGTACTCCTAATTTTTTTTATCATCTTTGTACTCCTAATTTTTTTTATCATCTTTGTACTCCTAATTTTTTTTATCATCTTTGTACTCCTATTTTTTTTATCATCTTTGTACTCTTCAATTCCTACACTTGAGGTCAAACTTTATTAACAAATATAAATACCAAATGATTTGAGGACTTTTTTGGTTAACTGTTGAGCATGATTTATTCAGTTTTTTTTTTATTTCTCTTTGCAGATCCCAAAAGCAAAGAAGAGTCAAATCAAGTAAGTCTCAAATTTCTCTCCTTACTTTAAATGATTGATAAAATCCACACAAAAATCTGTCTGAATTTCTGGGTTGAGGAGTTATCATTGTTTATATTTGGACTATTGTCCTCAACTTTATTATCACCCGATTTCCTTCTGTCTAAATTTCTGGGATGAGGAGTTATCATTATTTACCTTATTTATATTTGAAACTATTGTCCTCATCTTTGTTGTTATTATCACCTGATCGCCTTCTGTCTGAATTTCTGGGATGAGGAGTTATCATTATTTATATTTAGACTATTGTCCTCATCTTTGTTGTTGTTATAACCATGTTGTACCATTCAGCTACCTTCAGATGTGTACCTGAATCAGGTAGCCATCAGGGTATTTCAAATTAAAGCCTTTCTTTCATCTACAAGAGTAGATTATTTGTATTCCACTGACTATATCTCTTATTTCTATTCTTTTTAATGCTGCTCATTTATTGCTCACTCTTTCTATAGAGTCTAAATTTCTACTACCCAGCCCCAGGATTGAACTCACAATTACTATGTCAGCAAATTTAATGAATGAATGCTTTAATCCACTTGGCTGTAGTAGGCATAGTAATTATGTGTTCAATCCCTGGGATGGGTAGTGTAGACTTAGACACATTAGTAACAGGTTGATCAATAACTGAACAGTACTAAATAAAAACAAGATGATTGTTCGACTGTTTTGTTCATTTTTTTATGGCTTATCCACTCTTTGTGGGTTATTTAAAGCCAGAAAATATACAAGACTTACTAATTAGCCCATTGCTAAGGGGAGAAGTAGATTCATACCTAATCCAAATTTGATAAGCAAACAAGAAATTATAATGCAGATATAAAGTGGGTGATCAATTCTCTATTTTAAACAATATATAAACTGATCCCTCAATTTGTGGCTATGGTGGGTTCTATACATTTATTCCAGGGAATGTAAAAAAGCTTGTTCCATAATCTTTAATGTCAAGATGCTCACAATTTCTTTTGTCAAAGAGTGAAATTGGGAATAAAATTTAAAAAACATTAAAAAATATAAAACTTTTACTGGATGTGTGAAAATTTTCCTCTCTGTTGCCATATTCACAACGTTTCAACCATTGTATGCTCCAGTCTTCTTCAAGATCTGTCTATATTTCTGAGATGATCTGCTCTGACAATTTTTACAATTCTGTTTTATTATTGGTTATTGCTAATTTGTTATGTCCAATTTATAAATTTGATGGTAGTATTGAGGAAAATCTTAGTATAAGTAAAGTGTGATGCATAGTCTCACGCACTTGTTGGTAGTCTTTAAACATATACCACACAGATAAAAGGATAGGAAGCTACTGTATAGTAATAACTTGTTACTAATAGAATTAAACCTTTTGATTGTACCACATCATATAAGAAGCCTTGTTTTGGGCAAATAGATTAAGAATTTAGAAGTCAACACTTGCATTTTAGCAGATTTTAAAGATACAGAGCACCTATGGAGATCAAATGGAAATGTTTCTCTGTAATTTTCGAAAATGTACTTGCTCATCAGATTGACAGCTGAGATATAAAATTAAATAGTGGCATACTTTCGTAGATGACACTATCTTTGACATCTTCAAAATATTTGTTGCTTGACTTTTCAAAAGGTAAACTCCAGAAAGCAATTTACTCTGATTTTGTATCTGATAACTGTTAAAATGACAAATACATCACCTTTGTTTACTTACACACACACACACATAAAATATATATATATATATAGGAGGCACGGTGGAGCAGTGGTTAGCGGCTTGGATTGAGGAATCATGAGAGCCGAGTTAAATTCAGTCGAATCCACTGCATTCACTTACATGCTAATACCCTTAGGAAAGGTATGTATCTTCTTCATCTCCCTCCAGCTATGGGTAAAATAGCAGGACAGACTGGGTTCTATAGCCTTGGATGGCAACTGGTCTAGGAGAAGGACAACTCTGAATTCAAAACCTGGAGGGTCGTTTGGGAACCTTGTGGCATGTATTCTGTGCACCAGGTTTCTGTATTCGTCCCCTCCAAAAAGTGTGGCTGGTCCTGCACAAGGCCTTCACCACTATAAACAAATCTCATGTGCCGTGTCGGGTCGTCGGTTTCCTGGGGACTTATCGGCCTGACCCTCATACGTCGAACGCGACGGGAGAGTCGATTATATATATATATATATATATATATATATATATATATATATATATATAGTAAGGTAATGAAGGGTATTATTTTCTTAAGAACATCTTTGGAAAGGTTGTCGCTTTTTTTAATTATATATATAAAAAGAAAAAACAGTAAGATATATAATCCGGTATTCTTGTAGATATTTTTATTTTTACAAAATAGTGCTCAATGTAAATTTACAGAGCATTAATGCATGTTTCATTAAATAATATAGACAAGTTTTGTCTATTTATTTTAAGTAAGTTCCTTTCATATTGTCTGATAACCTTAATCACATTATCATTGAAAGCCGAAAGGAAAACACCATATTGATACATGTTTAAATCCAATCTAAGCTTTAGGCTTACATAAGCCATTATCAAAGATGACAATTTCAATAAATCAAACAATACGTGGATGAAACAACAATGCTAGTCCACAATTTCCATGAGTCTGTGTAATTTCCTCCAGCTGGTCCGGAGTAGTTATATCTTTTAGTTTATCGTAGATACATTGAGTCAATTGCTTCGTCCACCACAAGGAAAGTTGGCTCTCTGTGCCGCGCCAGGAAAATTTTTTCCCTGGAATCGATACTTCAAATATACGAATCAACCATTCGCCCTTGCATGGAGTATTGCTGTCATATATGGTCTGGTGCACCTTCTGTTTACCTCGGAGTTCTTGACAAGATCCAGAGGTGGATATGTAATATAATTGGCCCTGATCTGGCATCTCGTCTACAGTTGCTCTCTCACAGGTGTGCTGTCACCTCTCTCTGTCTTTTTTACAAATACTTTCATGGTAATTGCTCTGATGAGCTGCTTTCACTGGTTCCCAGACTTCAGGAATTCAAGCGCCCTTCGAGGCTAGCATCCCGCTCTCACCCTTACAATGTAGAAACTGTTAAATGTAGCCATCTCTTCTACTCCAATAGCTTCATATCTCGCACCTCTTGCCTGTGGAACACCCTTCCCTATTACTGTTTCCTTGAGAGCTATAATCTCCAACTATTCAAATGTAATGTCAATCGACATCTCCAGCTACCTTGATCTATCCACTATCTTTCTCCTCATCCTTTCTTCTATCACTCCTATCTGCTCTCGCTCCAAATTTTCTGCAACCCGCTGCATCCTAGTGGCTTCCCGCCTTGCTTGAGGCATAATGCTTAAAAAAAAAAAAAAAAAATGTCCAGTTTGTTGCTGTTAAGGTCGTACAATTTTTCTTTGGCTATTTCAATTTGCCTTTTCGCAAGGCCACATTTATAATTTCAAGTATTGATAGTTCGGTGGGCTATTGGATCATGCAATTTAAATTGTGTATATTTAGGCAGCAATTTTTCATTAACACATGTTTCATTAAATAATATAAACTAGTTTTGTCTATTTATTTTAAGTAAGTTCCTTTCATATTATCTGATAAGCTTAATCACATTATTGTTGAAAGACGAAAGGAAAACACCATATTGATACATGATTAAATCCAATCTAAGCTTTCGGCTTACATAAGCCATTATCAAAGTTGACAATTTCAATAAATCAAACAACACACAAACGAAACAAAAATGATAGTCCGCCCTTGATGCATGAAAATTTCCAAGTAACAACAAACTTGTATATACAAGACGCAGAAGCAAAAATCGCATCGCAGATCGTGACGTCACATATGACCACACGAAAGTGAAAAACAAGAAGTATTAAGTATGGGAAGCCGTTGGTATAAACCAATGGCTTCTGTTAAAAATTATAGACATTTAAGGATATTTGTGGAGATTTCATAGTTTATTTTGTTCAGGTTAGGTTACAACAGTTTTATGTATAAAGCTTCAAGAATTTTAAATTTTTGTTTATTGTTTTCATGTTCAAGTTTAGTTGTGTTTCAACAAGGATTTTCCAGAATTGATTACGTGGGCAGGCATGTTGTTTTAAATGCCTAAAAATGTTAGTTATCATTTAAATGTAGAGTCAAGCATCGTGAAAGTGAGTTTGTGGTGTGACCAACATAAATATTATTGAATTCCAACAATAATGTGATTAAGCTTATCAGACAATATGAAAGGAACTTACTTAAAATAAATAGACAAAACTTGTCTACATTATTTAATGAAACATGCATATATATATATATATATATATATATATATATATATATATATATGTGTGTGTGTGTGCATTTGTTTCCCTGATGCGAGTACCCCCTCTCTACCTCAAGTGACCATCAGACTGTTTTAATTATCTTGAAGATCTGTAATATTTGAATACCCTTAAAATGTCTTTGAAAAAGTGGTTTGTCCCATCATTTGCCACAAATGTCTCTTCCTCTTGAAGAAGAATATGTGACAGTTTCATCAGATTGATTGATATGCATTCTTCCAGGGACTTGAAAACATTTTAATGTAGTTTCATATAAAATGAGATAGGAGTTGATTTTTTTTGTGAGTGCTCCATATGTGTGGCTGTTATATCAACCACATGAGGAAGAAACTTTTAATTTTTCAGTGTTCCTGAATTGTGTGGGCAAAAGAGCCTGATGAAGTGTTTAAGTTTGAAGAGGCGGGGGAAAGAATTCATCCAGACTAACGAGATAGCATTTCTGTACAGAGAGAAACTTATAAATGGCTCACTCTTTCCTTCTCTCTCCTTGCGTGCTCTTTCCTTCTCTCTTCCTTGCGTGCTCTTTCCTTCTCTCTTCCTTGCCTGCTCTTTCCTTCTCTCTTCCTTGCCTGCTCTTTCCTTCTCTCTTCCTTGCCTGCTCTTTCCTTCTCTCTTCCTTGCCTGCTCTTTCCTCTTCTCAGCATATTGAAGGTTTTGAGGAGCATGAAACTACCTCTTAATTATTGTCGTTCACAGGTCCACCCTGACCTGGGGTGGTAGCACCTGTTAGGGTCCCAGCTATGGGCAAATAGTAAACATACAAACACTATGAATGTAAAAAAAAAATACATTTTTATAGTAAAAATACCAGCAATACATTTTTACATAAAAAATCACCAAAGCTATATTTTTAAACCAGAATTATCAACAATGCACTTTATCAGGTGTTGAAGTCATAAAAACTATGTTCAAAATATTTAGATTTTGGCATTAGATAACCCATAGAGCTGTTGATATGCCACTAAACAATATCAACCAACATGAAAGAACTCTTTCAAGATATTAATCCATAAAATATTCTACAATTTCTTTAAGAAATTAAACTGTGTTCCAAAATATAACTTGAACAAAACTACAACATAAAACACACACATCACTGCCTCAAGTAATTTTGTCCACACAAACATGTATATACACACATAAGCTGAGTATCATCTACCATGTATTCAAGTGTGAAAGCAGAATAACATATATCGTATTTTTATTATTTTAAAACTCCCAAGAAAATCACATTTTGGCATTAAATGACCCATAATGCTGTTAAACAAATCAGTCATACTAGTATACTATAAAAAATCAGATTATTACTTTGAACCAATAAAATAAATGTACATTCAGTTTTTTTTTTTGTTATATTCCATGCTAATAGGAATATGGACTGGACAAACATGGTGGATGAATAGAAACAGGTTTATTGTAGAAACCAGTACAAGCAAGGAAGAAATAATGAGGCAAAGGGGCTTGGAAAATTTGTCACTCACAGGACATATTGAAGGCAAGAGGGACAGAGTTAAAGAGTGTATAGCCCACCTAACGAGCTTATGGGTGTCAGAACAAGGTTTAAGAGAGAGATAGCAAAAAAGACTAAATTTACTGAGCTACAAAGGAGAGGAAATTGTGGAGAGCCATGATTTCTCATGTCCTGAAGGGACATGGTGCATAGAAGAAGAAAGTTCAAGATGAAATTGACTCTAGAACAAAAAAAAAAGTTCCTTTTTTTTCTGCATTTATTACAAATATTTGCTGAAGTGGGGAATGTGCCATAAGACGGTATTTTTTTTTTTATTTTGAAAACAAATTGCAATTTTCTGAATCAGAAGAGAACTAAATGCAATAAGATGAAGGAAAACAAGTTAAACATGAAGTAAATATGTTCCAATAAGATGATTTATTATGATAAAAAAAATATCATCTTGGTAAAATAACACCTGCCTTTAAATTAGTAACATTAGTTCCCCGTTAGAATTTTGTATCTAAAATAGACAGTGAGTAGCCTGCAAGTTGATAAATGCATGAGAGGCTGCATTTCTAAAAGGAAAACTTCATCAGATATCAAAGAGGCAATCCTCAGTTTTTTTTTATTTTAGCATATAAATATCTCATCATCTCACTCTATTCATCATGCTTATTTGCTTTAACTGTCTTCTCACTCAGTCTGCCTGTCTCTCTCCTTGCCCACTCTCACTTCCTTTGTCTCTTCTTGCTCGCCCTCACTCATTTTGTCTCTTTGTTAATTTGTTCACACAACCCTTACACCCAGCCAATACCTCATACATAGTGGGCTATTCCATTTGATCATGTGGAAAAAAAAGGAAAAGACACTACTTGATTTCAGTGAGAAAATGAATGCTAGGATTTATGAAACAAATCCATCCAAACTTTCATTCCCTCTAATGATTCCATATCTAGTGATATAGCAAATACTAAAAGCATCTATAGAAATTCATTGCAAATGATTTTACTATAGGAATGCATTAGAAATGATTTGAATATTAGCTCTTTATGGAACCTGGAATATTATGGTTAGGATTTATGAAACAAATCCATCCAAACTTTCATTCCCTCTAATGATTCTATATCTAGTGATATAGGAAATACTAAAAGCATCTATAGAAATTCATTTCAAATGATTTTACTATAGGAATGCATTAGAAATGATTTGAATACTAGCTCTTTATGGAACCTGGACTATTATAACTAGGATTTATGAAACAAATCCATCCAAACTTTCATTCCCTCTAATGATTCCATATCTAGTAATATAGCAAATACTAAAAGCATCTATAGAAATTCATTGCAAATGATTTTACTATAGGAATGCATTAGAAATGATTTGAATATTAGCTCTTTATGGAACCTGGAATATTATGGCTAGGATTTATGAAACAAATCCATCCAAACTTTCATTCCCACTAATGATTCCATATCTAGTGATATAGCAAATACTAAAAGCATCTATAGAAATTCATTGCAAATGATTTTACTATAGGAATGCATTAGAAATGATTTGAATATTAGCTCTTTATGGAACCTGGAATATTATGGCTAGGATTTATGAAACAAATCCATCTAAACTTTCATTCCCTCTAATGATTCCATATCTAGTGATATAGCAAATACTAAAAGCATCTGTAGAAATTAGCTTGGAATTATGTATTATAAATTATTCAAATACTGAGAAAAGTACTGAAAACTATTTTGTTATAGAAATACATTGAAAATAAGTGAAGCATAAATAGTGAATAATGAATCTCCGTGTCACTAACAAAATCAGTCTTTTATGTGTCTAATCATTATGACCTTGCTCTGCATTTTTTATTAAATAGCATTTTTAAATATTCAATTTCAAGCTCTACATAATTATGTTGCTCAAATTTAAATAAAATTTTCTCTTTTTTTTTTTTTTTTTTTTTTTTCTGACATAAATTCATCTTTACTTCTGGAGTCTAAACAATAACTTTAAAACTTGTTTTCATTTCAGGAATTATCTCCATTGGGATTGACTTCCACAGAAAAATCAACTACTCTCCTCACTTTTGAAAACAGCAATGCATCTGCAAGAATCTGTCCACCAGCTCCAGAGAGTACCGTTCAACCTCGCCGATCTCGTCAAAGGGTGAGGCCTGATGATATCCCAGCACCCATCTTAGATGTAATCAAGGCATCTTTGGATTACGAACAGAATGGGACGCAGTCCAAAGCTGAACCTTGTCGAACAGCTCCAATAACGCAGTCTAAATCACCTGCATGTGTTTCGGCCAGTAACAAAGCATTACTGGATGAACCCCTGACTCCAGTTCAGTCTAGTTCAGGAGATGAACCCTTACAAGCATACAGCCCTGTTGTAAGTAGGCGGTTCTCGGATGTAAATAAGTCAACAATCACCACGGTGAACCATTTGAGAATGAGTAAGGATATTGGTGCTTCCATAGCTGAACCAGTGCATCCTCAGCCTCTCACATCGAAAACTGATCGTTCTGATTCAGTGTCTTTTACCCCGAGCTTAACTCTTGGATCCAATATCCAAAAAGCAAGTTTAACAGAGAACAACAACAGCTCCAAAATAGCATTCTGTGCAACTGACTTGACTTCTGGAGACAATGTTACAAAGAATTTGAATGCAATCAAAGAACTTAGAACATCATCACTTCCAGAAATAGGATTCATCAAAGATGTCAAGAAAGAAGAACAGACATTTTCTGAAACCCCTGTAGTGGCTGATGATACCCAGCATAAGGAAAGCATGCCAACCAAATCTGAGAAATTAGATAAAAAAAGCAGCAGGATCACATCTAAATCTGACCAGTCAGTTGAAGACAAAGATATTTCTAAAGTTTCCATCAAGGATTTTACAGATGTTGAGTTGTTCATTCGGGAAGATAATGAACTCGTGAAGCAGCAGCAAGAAGAACCTGTGAAAGTTCCGGAATCAAACTTTCGGTCCACCTCAAATCTTTCGCTCATATCAAAAGCGACCGAGCCAGTATCTAGCCAAATGAGGAAGCCAACATCTATCACTGATGATCAACCACAGGAGAGAACCTTATCTTCTGAAATTGAGAAACCTGAAATATTGTCAGCCCAAGTAACAAGCACTATAAGTCATACCCCTGTTATGAGTACAGCAGTCTATACTACTAAATCTAAAACATCTACTTCAACCACTGCTGCTAAAACCATTACCAGTGTCACTGAAACCAAAAAGGAATCTGTAAAATCTTCAGCACCAGTTACAAGTACTGATGCTAGAACGGTAACCCCTGCTGTGACGACAAACACAAGTATAGCTCCAGAAATCAAGAGGCCATCTGTAACATCAACCCAAATTAAAACTTCAGTCAGAAATGACACCGTAACACTTACTGAAGCCTCAGTTACACTACCAACTTCACAACCTGTTACATCTGTCACAAGCTTGACTCCAAAAACAAAGCCTGCTATCACTGTGATATCAGATCCTCTTATAACAAGTGTGACCGATAGTACTCCTGTTGCAACCACCACCACCACCACTCCAAGTGTTACATCTGCACCTCAAACCTCTGTTACAAGTGTTATCAGTTCCCAAAATGTGGTCACTGATGTCAAAAAACCTGCAGCAGTTAGTTTGGCATCAGTTTCTCATGTAACAAGTGTCACCAGTAGTGCTCCTGTTACAACAGCTGCTCCTCCTCCCAGTGTTATGTCTGTACCTCAAACTTCTGTTATAAATGCTACGAGTTTCCAAAACCTGAGCACTGACATCAAGAACCCTGCAGTTAACTTACCATCAGCTTCTCATGTGACAAGTAGTAAACCTGTTACCACAACCACTGGTGTTACACCAGCTACTGAAACATTAACATCTACCACCAGTACAAACTTAATAAAAGCTTCTTCTGTAACGCCTGCAACATGTGTTACCACAAGAAGCACTCCAGTCACAACTGTGTCTGAAAGTTCAACAATAATTACTAAAACAAATGCAGGTGTAACTCCAGAAGTGAAGAAACCTGTCATTGTAACATCTTCACCTAGTCTCACAAAACCTGAACCAGTTACAAGTACCATCAATATTGTGACTACAAGTACTGCATTTAGTAGTCCCACAACTCAAACTACTTCTGTCACAAGCACTAACTCAGCAATGGCTCCCAGAGCCTTCAGCCTAAGTCCAACATTACCTGAAAGCCACGACCTTACGAGGTCCCTAGAACTAACGCAGAAAGACATTGAAAATGGTAACCTGATGACACGCAGTGCACAATTTACCCAGCCTCGAATGAGTGAGGGCTCACTAAATATACCCCGTCGTGGGATCTTAAAACGCTCTGGTTCTCTGCGTTCTAACAATATCACCTCTGAACTCATTGATCCAGAATTAGCAGTGGTGTTTCAAGCTCGCAGAATCAAGGAACAAAAAGAACAGCCCACTTCGGATCTCGCCGAGGAGGATTCCGTGTTTGATGACAAGTTTCAAAAGTGAGTCATTAATGATTTGATACTTTATTTACACTATTTACATTTGAATATTTCAGCCATTGTGCCCTCCAGCCTTCATCAGGTGTGTATCGATCCAGTTAACCTATAGGGAGTTCCTTGACTGAACCCTTTATTTAACCTATGGGGGTAAAGCCGTCTAGTTCTTATTTTTAGTACTGCTCAGTTATTGCTTACCCTATTTTCACTTAGTCAAAGTACATGCACCCCGGCCCAATACACTGTTCTCATTCTTTTGCTTAAATTGATCCATAACTGAGATATTTGAAGTGCTTAATCATACTTATTATAAAACCCAGCTTGTGTGTGTGTGTGTCTGTTCGTTTATATATTGGATCGGATTTCCTACATTTTTCAACCAATTTCATCAAAACTTCACAGGACTATGTAAAATTACCTTGCGGTGGTTCTGACAGCACCAAAAATTGGAAAAACACAATTGTTTTTGCACAAAATCAATTTGAAAACATGATTAAGAGGCATTGCTGTCGCGAGAATGAAAGGGGGACAACTCATATCGAGTTATACTTATTATAAAACCCAGGTTGTTTGTGTGTGTGTGTGTGTGTTCATTTATATAAGGGATTGGATTTCCTACATTTTTCAACCGATTTCAACAAAACTTCACTTTTTGGGGGCAGGTAGTGTTTCTTATTGTCTTGCACACTTTTTTCTTTATTTTTACATTCAGAATGCTTTAAAAATTCCATTTACAAGACAATTGTTTATAATAAAATTCTATTCAATTGATAGACTCATAACGATTGAAAACAATGTTTTTGTTTGGGTTTGACCAATTCGTAAAAAAACAAAAACAAAAAAAAAACTAATTAAGACATGCGTGTCTGTCAACCTTAAACTATAATCTTTGTCAATTTTATTTTTCAGTCTTTATGATGGTCGATACTTGATCTATCTCTTACTGTTACATCTCTGGGCAACGCCGGGCTCTACTTCTAGTATTTACTAATTCTACCTCCTGAATTTTCAGGGTATTGTGATGAAATAGGAACAAGGAATTCTAACCTACCCATGGCTAAGAGGCTATAATGTCTCATCTGCCCAGTTGATTCTAGTGCTCTTAAAATTATTGCAAATTTACATGCATGGTCAAAGCCTGAATAGAAAATGAGCCACACAAATCAGCTGGGTGAGGATCTACAGATTTTGACTTGTGCTGAGCAGGGGTCATTGCAAATATCAACTACACCCTTGTGCAAATTAATTGAAACAACTGCTTTAGTTTCCTTTCTTTCACTATACAGTCAGTTTTACACTCATTGGGGTGACAGGGTGTAATTAATATCTATTCTTTCCTCAGATTAGGTCATTTGCAGTAGTGTGCAGTAATATGAATCTATTTTCGGGGTGTATGATGAAATTTATTTGACCTTGAAAAATATTGCAACATCTATGATTGCATCAGATTTTCCTCACACCAAGACACTATTGTCTCCACTGTCGATTAGTTGTCCTATGGCCATTGTCTGTGATGGATGTTACTCCAAGGAAGCTTACAAAAATTATAATACCACATGAACACAGTGGCAAGCCTTGCCAGTGAGCAAATCAAAGTACCATTAACTGGCTTGAAAACTCTCCTGATTTAAATACAGTCGAGAATCTGTGGTCAATCTGCAAGTTAAAGACTCTGTAGAATGGACATACAAAGTACTAACATGTGCACTGGGTCATGTTTCATTGGAAAAATACAAAAAAAAGTAAATAACAACAGAATTATTCATTTTGTTTCAATTAATTTGCACAGGGGTGTATAAGCTATTTCGGTAGGTATGTGCCATCGTTGCTTTCATTCCAGTTCCAGACATTAGTTATTTTCTTGGAAAACATGGTAGAGGGTGTTGGTCTTCTGTCCAAAATCATTCTCATGCCAACTATGAATACCTATGTCATCAGAATGGCCTTCCTCATTATTAGTACATTGGCCTCAAGATGGAAAACAAGAATGCTGTTTTCTATTAGCAGATTTGTATGGGATGTGGTATGGACTGCTTAAAGGATCAGTGCCTATCTCTTCACATCTGTGCTTGTATCTACTAGGGGGAGCTGGAAAGTTCTTGGCCTTACCTGACAATTTTTTCTTTTTTAATATTTCTTATCCAGGCCCAGGACCTTTCAGCATTACTTTGTTGATGAGAAAACCTTCATATTCATGCTTTGATGCTGAAAATGTATTTTACATCAGGACTCACGTTGTTGAGCTGTCCAAAGTTTGTTTTTATACATTTGGGTATTTTTAACTGTCACTACACTCATTGTGAAGAATTGATCAGGATGTTAGGTGAGATAGATTTGATAAATCCTGGGTTTTTAGATTAATGGAATTAAAATTTAAATCCTTTAAAGATGATATTATCCCCAATGGTCGAACTAAAAAGCATCTATCAAGCATTTATACAAGCTCTTTTTACTATATATGTATATCACTCATTTTATGGTAGATAATCACATTATCTGTAGTGTGTGTGTGTATATATATATATATATATATATATATATATAACTCTCCTTATTATAATAATTAAATTAATTATTATATATAATAATTAACTCAATTATTATATATAATAATTAACTCTCCTTTTTATAATAATTATAATAATTATTATATTTAATACTCTCATTTTTGACATATGAGTGTCTTTCAGTTTTGTTTTCATATTTATGTATTGTATAAGACAACAATCCTACACAGGATTTGCAAACAAGTTCACACGAGGGAGATGCTGAAGGGTTGACCATCATATGGGCTGATGTATTGGCCCAAGATTTAGTGTTGGTTTTTAATTCTCTCATATGCTTGAGACAATTCTGTTCAAAATTAGTTATACCTTGGTGGCAAGTGTTTCTCCATTTTCTTTGGTTTTCAATATAAAGTTCAAACTGTATATTTGCAGCAATTGTATTTGAGTTTGTTCTTGAAGCCTCACCAAGGATGGTCTACATTACACCTACCAGGAAAATTATATATATAGTCAGTCAATAGTCACTTGAAGATTTGCTGTCATTTGTCTTTCTTTCTTAATGGCTCCCATATTGTAATTATTTCTATGCTAGGCCTACTAAGGAGATCCTCATAGCCTAGCATATATGCTGATTCTTTCAGACACCTAACTTTCCAGTGTTCTTTCATTCTGAGTGATTTCTGCTAATCTGAAATTGGTTATTTTATAAAAAGATTGTTCTTTTGCAAATGGTGTGATAGCATGTTGGTAGGTAGACTTTTTCAGTTTCCAAATATGAACAATACATTATGGCTTTGGTTATAGTTGATGTTGTTAAGGCTTGCTTTATTTTTTACGAGCTTAAAAGCTGCACTCTGTGCAGGGCTGATTGGGCCCCTGGCTCAAAACTAGAGAGAACTCTGATCCAGCTTAGAAAATAGCAATTATAATTTTGAAGAAATAACTTTGAATTCTTCAATTCACTCCATGGAACTTCAAAACCTCACTTTAACTCCAATTCAGGCTATAAGTCCAATTCCAACCAAAAGACTAATTTGGCCCGAATTTCCAATTCAGGCTGAAAATTGAGTTCTTCAAATCACAAACTCTGCGAAACTTCAAAATCTCACGTCACGAAACCTCTCACTTAAACTCTGATTCCTTGACATTTTGAAGAAATAAATTTGATTTCCTCAATTCACAAAATTTTGAAGACATTTTAAAAAACAAAAATTTTTAAATTCAAAAAAGTTTTTGTTATTTTAAACTCAATATAAATTAAAAGCTTTTAAAATGACTAATTTTTATTCAATTATTTTAAAATTTGTTCATTCCTCATCCAATCTGGACAAAAATCTGAATGCTGGATGTTCAAGCACTAGATGAAGGGCTGATTTCCAATCCTGGAATCATTCTGATTCTAAAACGGTATAATATATCTATGTTGAGCAAGTGTAGTCCAAGTCAGGAGTTTCAGACACACAGATGGACAGACAAAATTTGCCATTTATTTATTTAGATGTTAAGGGTTTCAATTATTTTTAGATACTTCTTGAAGATAAAGGCACATATAACATTCACATTCTCAATTCATATATTGTGTATCAAAGCTGGTATATATGTCTATTTTAAGACATTTTTTATGTTTATACGTTCTTTTTATAGATACAAATATTTAAGTAAATGCTTTGTTTATAATAAACAGTGTTAAACAATATTTACCGGCCTGAATATCCAAGAAAATTTTCATAAAAAATATGCGTCCTCTAACAGGAATTTAACCTGTATCCGAAAAAGGAACTGTCATATAGCCTGATGTATCTTACTGATTTAGCCACAGAGGAACGTTTCGGTTAGCAAGGTCGATTTTACTGTTTTTAAACTACAATTCTCCATGATTTTCCCTTGTACATTCATATCTGCTCGATGCGTATCCAAATGTAAACAAATGACATCACACATTATAAAGAACGTATAAACAAATGACATCACACATTATAAAGAACGTATAAACA